ATATTATTCCTTGGATACCTTTACTTATATTTAGGAAGAGACCCATGATTTTCTTTATCGTTATGTAAATATGAGTGTTTTATTATATAAAGAAAATCATTTATTTTCTCTTTTTATTGCTTTTTATATAAAGACGATTTTTATGCATTCTTTTCGGTACTTTAATTAAAATTTGCAATCAAGTTACATGGCTGAAAACTATCGCGCACCAAATGAACATAATAATGCGCTCATAATAGTGCTAAAAATTGCAGATGGACAATCTACTTAATTTAGAAAAAAATAAATTAATCAATAATCAATTAATTAATCATCCAGTTTAGGCAAAATTAAAATTAGATTGCATTGTCAGGTCTTGAAGTGAGTGCCAAGTTTGAAATGAATCGATCAGTTAAAAGTGCTTAGAATTTCGCTCGGCAGTTTCGATCGATGATGACTAGACAACAGGTAAAGCAAGTTAAAATAAAGCGAAAAAAAAATGAGGCGCTAAAGTAGAGTCTGCGTTTTTTAATAATATGTTTCAAAATTTAATCTAATATGAAATATTTAAACTTTTGCATTTCCGGTAAAGCAGGCGGAATATGTTTAAAAAGCAACATGGAGGATATTTGTTTCTAGGCCTCACTTCAAGATTTTAAAATACCAAGAGTGGCTAAATGGCAACAATAATAAAAACGGTAGACCTAGCTAGGCAATACATATTGTATTAATTGTTTAGGGGTCGTCCATAAATGAGGTTATACTCGTAGAGGGGGGGGGGGGGGTCCTGTAATTTTGTGACGATGTGTGATGAAGGGGAGGGTTAGATGGTGTGACGTCACTTTTTTCAATATGAAAAAACAATGTTAGAAAACGAGTTTTAGCCGTTATTTCGCGTTTTAGAAAACGTTTTTAATAAATTGTAATAGGAATGGATCAAAATACTCGATGTTGACAGAGTTCTGACAAGAGTTTTGAAAAATATCGATGTTTTAGGAAAAATTCAACAGCAATTTTGAGGGGGTTGTAGGCTGAGGTGTGATGTCATTTTTGGGGGGAGGGGTAAAAATCGTCAAAAAAAGCGTGACGTCATTTATGGATGACCCCTTAGGACAATTAGTAACGGATTCGAATAAGTCACAGCTAGAGGCAGTATACCTTATGTGACAGCTAGTGGTAATGTTTATGTGACAGCTAGTGGTAATGTTTATGTGACAGCTATTGACCATGTACTCACCCAGTAAACAGCATGTAGTGGTCACTTGCTTTAATGTCCGACTGGCCCGGATACCAGGCAGCAAAGACCTCAAGACCTCTAGTGCCATCAAACTTGTTATCGGTTGTTATAACGCTTATAAACTGGTCATCAGCAGCATTCTTCCAGTAAAAAAAAAATATACTGTTATTGGTTTTTACTTTTTAAATTTATACATAGCTTTCTTAAAGGTATATGTATTTCGTGTCGCAATACTATTATAACAGTGGTTAGGTAATATGAGGATTGACGCGGGGCTAAGAAAAAAGTCCGAAAATAGACTGGGGAAAAATCACACCCTTCTGGGTCGGACGCGGCTGATTCAATTCAGTGAATGACTATAATACTACTTATTACTCATTTTATATTACACTCTTTAAAACGAACTTACGCGCCATAGCGCTCAATGGATAGCCCTGGGCGACAAATCGCACCTTATCGTGTCTTTAGTGTACACGCTTTTAAAAAAACGAACGTAGGCGCCATTGTGCTCATTGGGTGCCCGGGACACTTCGGGTCACGTAATAGCCGTGGCGCCGGTCGGGTCACGTAATAGCCGTGGCGCCGGTCGGGTCACGTAATAGCCGTGGCGCCGGTCGGGTCACGTAATAGCCGTGGCGCCGGTCGGGTCACGTAATAGCCGTGGCGCCGGTCGGGTCACGTAATAGCCGTGGCGCCGGTCGGGTCACGTAATAGCCGTGGCGCCGGCTGCCGAGCCTGTTGAAGTTATAAAGCTAAATATATGTGTAGGGGGGTGGAAGCAGGCGTTGTAACTGAAATAGCAATATTAACAGAAAGTGATATTTCAACGCCAAGGGTAGACATAGGTACAGAAAATAGTCCAAGTAAAGACAAGCAGACCAATTTATACAAACCTCTTTAATTTCTCATATACGAAGTATAGAGAAAGTATTGTATTCGTGCAAAAGTATTATATTATATTTGTAGATCTGTATCAACTTTTGAGCGATTTCCGATAACCCGAAGTGGAACTTTTTCTACTCTAAATTTTTCAAAAGCCTATAACTTGGGTACTTTTTCATATAGATAAACAAAATTTTACATGTAAGTACAATATCTAATTCTCTACCTTCTGTCAAAATATGATTAATTTTCGTTGCCCGGAAGTAGTAATTTACGCTATTTTCGAGTTCTCAAAAACGCATGTAAATTTATAAAGTACTAATAATCCGCTTTATTATACACATATTGTTTGGCTTTTAATTGGTGCGCAATCCTTTTTTCTACGAGATTCTGTTCTATTTTAAAAAGTTTAAGTAATTAAAAATGGATTATAAATCATGCTTATATCCCACGTAATGTTATATAAGAATATTCGAGAAAGTATAGGGGAGATCACTCCCGTTTTTTAAAAAATATTAGTGGATAATTTATTTTTTAATTTTTAGTGCATTATTACAAAAGAGCATGTTATTAAAACGTACTTTGTGGTTTTTTTTTTATATATAACATTACAAACTTACCGTTAAAATTTTGAGTCCAGTCACAGATGTACTGATTGATATAGCACTGTCGCTGATAGACTCGTACCTAATTTTTACCTGTTGATGTCATACAAGACAAATGTGATTGAAACCATGTTGTTAGAAATAATTGTTTCAATGAGCCTATAGGGGAACGTATTGTATTATTCTCTGCTGTTTTTTATCCAAACTGTTATAAAAATTGAAAAGAAAGTCTTATGTAGGCTTAACTTACCGACTCAGCAACATACGTGCTTAGGTAGGCTTAACTTACCGACTCAGCAACATACGTGTACCATGCCCTCATGTAAACTAAGGTGTTTCCGCCAAACTTGGCCATCCACCTGTGAAATATTACAATTAAAGTGATCTCTTTTGCAGGCAACTACAAATCGGCTGATTCAGAGCCCGACTTTATACTCGGAGTTTAATGCATTATAACCAAATTCCTACTTAGCCATAATTCACTAGTTTAGCCCCTACTTGGCGTAGTCAGCATTGTCAACCACAAAAGCCATCTCCACAATATGTTGGGTGACCGCCCTTTTCTGTCGAGACCTCGGCCCCGTTCTGTTCTGGTTTGGTCTGTTCTGTCTTTGTTTGCGTAAAGGTGCTAGGAAAATGAACACAGATATTTCAGTAACGTCCATTTTTAAAGGTTACATCTGTAAATAAGGCAGAGGCGTCGCGAGGCGGGGGGCGGGAGGTGCGGACCGCGCCAGGTGACACCATTTAGGGGGTGACATCAAGACAAAAAATTGCAAAATATATAGACGAAAAATTGTTTTTGCCAGTTAATTATTGCTTAACTAGAGTGAAAGCGTCTTTTAGACACACACTGATAAGCCCCGGCAAGGGTAGGTAGGTGACAAATAAGACGTTAACTATAGAGAAAAAAAATGCTGCATCCAGCTGTATTAGTAACATAAGACAGATAACTATTTTTACTCTTAACTATATACATCACTCAAAGGTGACACTAACTGCAACATTTACAGAGGAAAAGATGTTAAGTTGAATATTTTCAGTTACTTTTAATTAAAGTTAATCAACGACCAGGGTGGGGGTGTCACCATATCTAATAATTTACTATGAAAACATATATATATATATATATATATGTATATATATATATATATATATATATATATATATATATATATATATATATATATATATATATATATAATCTATACTTTTTTATTTGATAGGGGGGGGGGGGGTCCGTTCCGGGTGACAACCTACACAGCAACGCCACTGAAATAACGTTCGTGAACACCAACTCACCAAAACAACAACATGATCAAATTTTCTTTATTGTTGCTGAATATAGAACTATTCTAGTGCATTTGCAGCAAATAACGCAAGATCTAATTCGATTAAAACATTTTTGAGATTCTTGCATCGTCATCAAACAAGCATTGACCTAAAAATTTGTAAATAAATCGATTTTAAAAAATAACATAATATTTGACATTAAACACAACCACTCAACCATTGCCGAATAACAAAAAGTGCGAAAAAAATAATAAAAAGTTTAAGTAAGAATAACAGATGTAACCTTACGGTTAGGGTCGGTGACTGCGTCTCCTAGAAACGATAGTGTCCGGTTCATCGTCTTCCACGGTCTGACCCGGTGAATGGTTCCATTTACTGGCGTCAGGTCCCACAACTCTCGTCTGTGTGAGAACGTTCCGTTCTGTTGAAAATATATTTATCAGGGCAAGTCACCATGACAACATCAAATTGAATAGCGACCTATTAGACAAACAGTTAAATCGTCTCAAGTCCAGCTAGAAAAAAGGTCAACTGTCTCTTGTCCAAATAGACACAATGTCAACTTGTCTATTCTTAACACTATCGAAAAACTGTATATTTTATAATTTATACATACGATTTGGTATAGGCTTTGATCTCTACGAACTATAACAGCGGCATCTTTATTTATGTCAGTGTATACAGCAACATTCTGCAAATGGTAAAGGTACCAGGTATGTCAGTGAAGTAAACATTACATAAACATTATATGCACACATTTAAAATCAGCAGCTCGCACTTAACACACGTACTTTCAAATTTCTAAAAAGTTGTGTGGGGTTAATGGCATTTTTAGAAAGTTATGTGTATAAACAATCAGATTTCAATCAGTTGTGTGTGTAATGAATCAGATCTACCAAATTGTGAGTTAAAACTAATTATTAAAGTTCAAGCAAGTTGTGGGTGGAGTCTAATAAAACTTCTACCAAGTTGTTCGGGGTGGGGGGGGGGGATCTAACCTCTGGAATCTGGTTGGCTAATCTTGTAGAATCTGGGTCGCTTGTTGTAACTGGCAAGAGAGCAGATCTCTTTAGTCGAAGTTCAAGGTTGTCGTTATCTAGGTCAACACGGAAGGTCAGGTGGTCGGGTAAGTTAGAGTCTGTTGACCTTTTCTGACGGGTTAGAGGGTCGAATCTTTCTGATAGCAGTGTCACTGTTACTTCATGCTCTAAAAGAAAAATCACATTCAATGTGTGTATATTTTGTACGCATAAACATGTGCACAACAACACCTGCTCACTGATGGGGAAACACATACACCCTCACATACACATACACATACACCCTCACATACACATACACCTAATGTTTTTGTACAAAATTAAAGAACTTATTCATCCCAGTCTGTCCATAGGGCCGGTGAAATAGAGCTCAACTATATCATTGAGTTTAGCATGTGTAGGTTTTGTGAGGCCAACCGTATACCCAGCCACATTTAAATTCATTAACTTGAGTCAGGTACTTATGTGGACACAGGGGCATCTTACAATTTTTAAGGAATTAGAACTCGAGACTATCGGGTTAATACTCGTACACTCTACCATCTGACCACGCCGTCCAAATGTTTAAGTAAGCTTCAAACAAAAGATGATCTCACCTTCGCTCAAGCCAACAGCTAACTGAGCAGCCAAGAGAACAAGTAGTACAAGCATGAGAGGCATCGTAGCAAACATACCTAGAGAAACAGAACCTTCACCTTTACTTTTATTATCAGAAAACCTTTATTTCTGAGATAACAATGAACAGGATTTTTTAAAAACAAAGATATACAATAATCTATTTTTTATGTTTAGTTTTTTCCGTTGTTTTGCGATTATCATATTTCTAGTGTAACATTAAAAGTATTGAATAAACTTAAAACGTCCTTACAAATAATATAGAAATCTGTCCATGCATTCCTATTTTGTGCCGTTAATAATTTAAAATCAAACAACTTGTTGTAACTTATAATCTACTGTCGCTATGTTACTTGACCTGTAAATACTCGTAAAACGTTTATACGATTTGTGATCTCGAATCTATCCATTTTGTTATCATAACAAAAGTAGTAAAAAAATATATTTAAAAAAAAATATTTCATAAACGTTTTATTAACAAGCTTTTATGTACTAATGCACTAAAAAGTAGAAAATAAATTATAGACTACTACTTAAATAACTATAAAGAAAAGCGTGGGTCTCTTCCTAAACATTAGTAAAGGTATCCAATAGATACTAAAGTGACCCACGCTTTTCTTTATAGTTATTTAAATAGCAGTCTATAATTTATTTTCTACTTTTTAGTGCATTAGTACATAAAAGCTTGTTATTAAAACGTTTTTTTTTATGAAATTTTGTTTAGTACTTTACATGTTTTCATTTACAATAGAGTTGCATGACTAAAAACCATTGCGCGCCTATTGAAACATGATAACTCGCTATTGAAGGTGAGGACGCGTGTAGTGTGGTTGGAGAGAAATGCCTACTAATTTGGTCAAAATTTTAATTAATTCATAAAAAATAATTAGGCATCCAATTAAGTCAAATATAATTTCAGATTGCATTGTCTTCATGTCTTGACCAACGTGCCAAGTGTGAACCGTATCAGTCAAGTAGAAGTGTCCAATCGAATTTTCGCTCCTGCGTTTCGATCTAGACTGACGACTGACGACTGACGACAGACGGCAGACAGAAGAAGTGAGTTAAACAAAAGCTTGTAAAAATGTCATAAAAACGTTTTAATAACAAGCTTTTATGTACTAATGCACTAAAAAGTAGAAAATAAATTATACACTACTATTTAAATTACTATAAAGAAAAGCGTGGGCAATTTTAGTACTTTAGTACCTATTGGATACCTTTACTAATATTTGAAAAGATACCCACGCTTTTCTTTATAGTAATTTAAATAGTAGTCTATAATTTATTTTCTACTTTTTAGTGCATTAGTGCCAACTGTGAACCGAGTCTGTCAGTTAGAAGTGTCCGAATTTTCGCTCGGCCGTTTCGATATAGACAGACAGAATGACGACAGACTGACGAGGAAGTGAGTTAAATAAAAGCTTGTAAAAACATAACATTTTTATTTGTTGTGTCGAAAAAAAAATCTATTTTACACTAACTTTAGTTTTGATGTAATAAAACGAAATTTTTGAACTGAGTGTGATTGGCAATCACTCAAATGTATTTCTTAAGTTTGAATTTTGTTGTATTTACAACAAAGTCAATTCATATGGCATATTGGTCCACAAAATTATATTACTTAACTTTAGTTTAAGAGAGATTCTGGAAAAAAAAATCACATGTAAATTCATTTTTTTAGAACCTATGCAAGCTGGTTTTAAAATTTCAAGAACTTCTCAACTCTAGGATAGGCCTACTTAGAAATAGTCCTACTCGTAAGAATTAGAGCTACACTAAAATATTTACTAAAATATTTCTAACAATGCATTCTATACTGAGCGTCACATAAACATACTTACTTTATCTGAGCTTCCAACGACCCGAACCTTTGCCTTCTTCTAATAGAGTAACTGTTGTCTGAGGATAGCCTCACTATATATCTCAACTTCCTCTAATAGAGTAACTGTTGTCTGAGGATAGCCTCACTATATATCTCAACTTCCTCTAATAGAGTAACTGTTGTCTGAGGATAGCCTCACTATATATCTCAACTTCCACTTAAGTAGCCTGTGATGCGTCATACACGAAATTTAATACAAAATAGATAAACAACAAGAGGTTATTACTTAATGGCGGATGATCTAGGCAATTAGTTCTCTTCAACGAAGGGACAACACAGTTTTACGATCGTATTGACGTCATGCGTATTGACGTAATCAATCTTTTTCGAGAGATATTGAAAAACAACTTGGGTATTTCATAATATATATGTTTATATATATATATATACATATTTATATATTTATATGTATTTTATAATATATATATACATATATATATATATATATATATATATATATATATATATATATATATATATATATATATATATATATATATATATATATATTATATATGTATATATACACATATACATATATACATATTTGTGGGTATTTTTGTTTATTGAATATATGATACATATGTATGTACATTTCTATATTAGGCTTGCCATGCATATATCGCACGGTTGTATTTTCTGGAATTATTTCAATACAAACAGATACAAACGTTTGACTTAAAGCTTTCTGGATGGAGCATAAAACACCGATCATTGTCTAGTATGTCTTACGACACTAGACACAAGCTTTTGATTTGTGTCTCAACTACAACTCAGACTAATACATTTGTTTACCAAGGAAGGATTATACAAGCGATGAAATCATGAGGAAAGATTGAAGTTTTCTCCTATCAGCAACATCTGGTAGAACACCATTAAACAGGTTTATTGTTTTGTTTTGGTTAACTCAACCCAGATATTGGATTGATTTCGTTTCTTTTTAGATTTGTTGTTGTAATACTTGATAAGATGAAGTGATGTGTGGTACTATGAAGTGATGTGTGCTATTATAAAGTGATGTTTGATGTTTTGGCGATGATACATCAAGAATATTTTAAAAAAGGTAATAAAACAGAAGCAAAAGTTACAGTTTAATAAAATAAACATTTTATATTTTACTTGCAGTTTTACAGTGAATGTATAACGATCGGTCAATCCTAAGAAAAATTACCCAAAGTTACGTCACTGATACGTCGCTAGACCAACTAGGTAAGAAAGAGAAAAACGTCGTGAAAAGAAAGAATAGAATTTAAAAAATAACAGCATTTGGAACAATTAGTTATAAGCAAGTAATTTTAAAAGTTTTAAAAAAATAAGCATCGTTTACATTATATTATTAAAGTTTATACATAATAGCAATAGACTATATAATGTATAGTTTATTTTATTAAAAATTTACCGTTTTATTGAGTTGATATTCATGTCAGGCAAGTTATGCTTCGTGGGATCCGACTTAAATCATAAAGATTCAAAATTCCAAGATATGACTTGCTTTATGAAAAGAAACTATTGGTTTTAAGCATGTTTTTGAAAAAATAAAACATATTATTTACGAAAACAAAATGTACTTAAAATCGACAAATCTTACAACTTAAACACAAAAACGTTTGAGTGAATGTTCAGTTGTGATGGACAACGGCTACTGTAGTTGGCCTTCACCTTACCAGCCATTCGATCGTCTTTACCCGCCATCCACGCTACTCCATCACAATAGGGCTGGTAAGTAGGTCACCAACCAGTTCTGCAGCTCAATAAAACCTGCATGAGCCATAGGACTGGTTTGTGACCTACTTACCAGCCCTATAGACAGCTGATGTTTGTGCTAACTATACATTTGTTATGGGCAAATACTATACCGTCGCATATAATAGGGCTGTTATGTAGGTCACCAATCAGTTCTATGGCTTATGTAGGTTTTATTGAGCCGTAGAACTGGTTCGTGACCTACTTACCAGCCCTATTACCATTTCTTTATTTAGTTACAGAACACAATTCTACTTAGTATTAAATGATCGTTAACATAAATAGAAATTGTTGGATTTTGAAATTAAATGTTGGACGTATTGCGAAATTTTCAAAATTGGACTGACTCCAAATTTAAAGAAGTTTGTCCAAACAATGATAGAGTGTACGCAAAGAAAACAAGGTAAATCCTATGAAATTTATTTTTTGCTGGGATTAAGGTAATAAATATGTCAACAGCTGTTTAACGACTTCAAAAGTTTCAATAATACATAGTCGATATATTGGGCCTGTAATTGTTGGGTTTGTTTTAGGAAAGAAATACTGGTAACTCAGTAGTAGAGATTAGAAGTTACTGTGTGGATTTTAACACACACAAACTAAATATCGCAACAACAAAAAATGTAACCAAAGGGAAAAAGCTTTTATTGTATTTACAAATAAAAACAACAACTCACAAATGAATAATATACTAAAAAGTAAAAAGTAAATTTAGTTTGGTATAATCTTACTAAAGCTATATGTTGCAATGACTAAAAAGAAATGATTTTCAATATTTCAGTTTAAGTACATGTAAAGTGAAGTTTTGTTCGCAAACATGTCAGGAAAGTCGTTGAAGACAGCAGAATAAGAATATTTGACCACATGCCTGTATAGTTTGTACATCGTGAGAAAGATGGCGAGCATAACAGCTAGTGTAATCCTAGTCCTGATCTTAGACTAGTGACTAGACCTATATTATTACTTAGTGTGAACTATTCTAAAGTTTAACATGTTAGGTTACGTACTTGCATTTTACCGCCTCGTAATTTCGCGTTTCGCTTATCGCATTTTACCAACGATATGTTAAAGTTATTATCTAATTTTAAAAGAAATATATCGATTATATTTTCTCTAGAACTACTGTAAAGACGGATGCCGTTTGAAAATCACACAGCATAACAAATCATTTGGAGCCTTGTGACGTGGCATTGTATGTAAATTATTTAGGCAAAGTATTGATTCTACTAGAGATCGAAGTGATATCATTCCGTCCGCATGGGGTACCCTCACAAGGCTCGGTTCTAGAATATCATAGTCTCCCAAGAAACATCAGCCAAGGTAATTTATTTTAAATAACTACTAACATCTATTACAAGTTTTACAAAAACAAATATATTGCTAGATACGTTTTTTTCTTTTATGTGTTTGAACCAAGAGTATGATTTCAAATTACTAAATCTACACAATGTAGGCTACTGTTCAAAGAAATACAATAAATTATTCATACCATAGATTCACAATGCTACTCCTATTTCTTTACTGCACCAATTTACTTGCGTTTACAGAAGAGACTACACAAATTATCGGCGCCTTATTTAGATACTACAAAATTGTTTACATTAAAAAACACTTATGTGTGTATGGCTTAACCTTGATTATGATTTTAAAAAAGTCCCAAAACAGAAAGAATTTAGCTTAGATTTCTTTTTGCGACTTACATATGTGCGGAATCTTTTGTGTGTGTATATATATATATATATATATATATATATATATATATATATATATATATATATATATATATATATATATATAATAGTTAACTATTTCTCATCTTTCTATGCACTAAAAATCTCACACTCCGATTACTGATAGACCTAAAGATTCATAAGATCATACCAACATTCTAATTAAAAAAATTAAAGCAATAGGAATAAGTATTGGGACCAGACACAGATATACGCTGTCATATTTTTCTGTGTTGGATTCTGCTGCCTCATCTTGTCTGGATAAGTTGTCCATTGAATCTTTATTACCCGTCAGGTCACGAACTTTTGTTTCCTTTGATTGTGTCTCTACTACAGGGATTCGTATTTCCTGATTGTCAGTAGTCGTCTTAGCAGTTCGATCTGTTGCAATGAGAAATTTGCATCTAAAACAATAGTGATTGACATTTGTAAAACTGCATTCAAAGACACTTTTTTTAAAAATTACTTTGTAAAATTATATTTTAACTACGAGGAGGGCCTATTTAAATTTGTATAATTAAAAATCAATTATCTGAAATTTGTAAAATTAAGACAGACGTATCTGAAATGTCGCTTCATAAGTTGATCCATGAAGTTAAATTTAGACACACGCTGTATGCTTATCCCATATCTAGATATCGATCTAAACTATTTATGGTTACATAAAACAGGTGTAGGTAAGAATACCTGGATTCAGTTTGCATTTGTCACCGTCCAGATAGTAGCCGTGTAGACACCTAGTCAGTGTGTCGTGTGTAGTGTTGCATTCTGTCACTATCTCCTCATGACTCCCGTCATCAGGCTGGTAACATCTGATACACGACAAACATTGGTGCTGGTCAAGATTCATATACCAACCAGCTTGACACACAGTACAGATTTTAGTTGTCGTGTTGAAATACTGAGCAGGACCACACGGCCCATAACTACATTCTCTGCTGACTTCCCCAGACAGTAAACTCAATATGGCCGCAAACAAAACAGCTTCCTTTTTCATTCTGCCAGAGTTGTGAACACTTTTACACTTTAATATATGTAGTAATATCTATTCAGCTATTATTTGCATTTAGTAGATTAAAAATTTATATTTCTACCTTGAAAATCACGTCAAGCCTGAATAGGCCTATATGTTAATACCTTTTCTTTACCAACAATTTACATATAACTTCTGAAAATGTTCGGAAATTATATTTTTAATTAATAGTTCTAAATCGTTTTTTAATAAACACATAACGATTTATTAAACAATTATGTAATCAATAGTTAATTAGAAAAAATGAATAGATATAATAAAACATATAATTGTTTCTTACCTACTTTGCGTCATTTAATCTAAGACATCGCAATAAATTATTTTCATATTTGCTTGAAGCGAAAGGAATTATTTGAATTTGAACTTACGGGAAAATCCAATGATTTGGTTTCCAAAAATAGGAATTCTGAACATGATATCTATAATATTAGCGGGCTGAGCGTGTGTCAGTCCTTCCTTCCTTCCTTCCTTCTGTCATCGCTATAGCTTTTGGAACCATAAAAGTAAACATTCGCACCATACTGTGCTTTTCAGTGCACCGCAGTGTCTTATTATAAGTATTAGAGTAGGGTTTGTTTATATAGCGGCATAGAGCTATTTTATAATTGCCACGGTTTTTACTCTTTCGCATAACGTCAAGAAAATATTAAATACATGCAAACTGCTAAAACGTATTAAAAAGATTAATGTCAAATATCATTTTCGTTTAGGTTCCCAGAAAAAGTGGATACATTTTAATAACATAATAACAGTAGGGTAGAAAAATCAAATTAATTTAACTCTTTTCTAATTTTGACAAAGGAGGTAATTTAAAAATACATTAAACTCACGCTAATAAAAAATGTGAATGCAAATATACGTTAGTCATAGAAGGAATTAGTGTTGCAATAATATAATTAGCAAAATGTGAATGCAAATTATTCGGATGTGTAAGAGGAAATTATTGTTAGAAAATTATAATTAGCATGGATTGATAAAAGGCAAACTTTTATTTATTTTATTCACTGAATGTAGGCCCTACTGTTTATTACTTATAATTTTTAATCAACTATTCAGCACTATTATAGACTCGTCATCACGTTCATTAGGTGCGCAATGGTTTTAGTTATGAAACACTATTGTAAATTTTTAAAATTTAAAGTACTGGAAAAAAAATGCGTGAATGGATAAAGTGAAATATTGTATATATTATAGATACTGCCTATTATTTATACTGTTTTATAATTGTTATTCTATCTTTCGGGTTTTATAGGAGAGGCGTAGCGAGGGGGGGGGGGGCATATGTCCCCGGGTGCCGACCTTAGGGGGCGCCAAAGTGGGTTGGAAAAAATTTGCGAGGAGGGGGGTGGTGGAAATCGAAAGTTTTAGGGCGGGGGGGGGGGGGGGGGGGAAAGGGGTGCAAATCGAAAGTTGAGGGGGGTGCAAATCACCGGAAAGGGCGCGATTTGGCGCTACGGGCTAGACTGTGAGCAATATGCCTTTATGATTGCATTTAAATTGTGTTTATGTTATGAGTGTTGTGTTTGTTTTTTCGTTTTTTTTTTTTTTTTTTTTTTTTTTGCGTTCGTTTGCGTTGTGTTTAGTTTTGTTCTGTTCCCAAGTTGGTACATTTAAAAAAGATTTACCGTGGCGGAGCACGGGATGCAGCTAGTTATATTTTATACTTCGTAGTATGGTACGATGTTTTAAAATGAATTAATCGTATACAATTTCGTTTCCTTGTTATTTTAAAACATCTTAGTATTATGAAGTTAGAATTCCGTGAACATTTCATAACAAACAATAGAGTAAAATTATGCCAATTAGGCAGCTAAACTTACTGCTTCTAAAAGGTTCATGGTGCCATAAACGACTGATTTACATAATATATCTCAGTGCTGTTATACTGTTGATGAAAGGGTGATTCTCGTGTGTATAATTGTGTAATTTTTTAATTACGAATTACATTTATGTTTTGGCAAAGTTATGATAGTATTTTTAAAAAAAAAGAACAACTGTAGCTGGTATAACGTGAAGGAAAAAAGCAACAACACATCGTTAACTACAAATCAACGAACTAGTTTATTTATTCCCTTGTGTTAAATCAATTGTGTGGGCTTAGACAAGTATATATATATATATATATATATATATATATATATATATATATATATATATATATATATATATATATATATATATATATATATATATATGCATTACAACCAAAAGCAATGAACGCAACATAATCTGTTTTGTAATCCTTGTAAAAAAATTTACATAATAATTCCTGGGACATAATTAAGACAAGCGAAAGGGGGAAATAATCACTCTTTTAATATAAATATGTAAATGTCTACACATTTAACTTTAAATATCAAAACAAATAAATAGTTACTTAAAAATCAAATAAAGTAGCTTAACACTATTTGTTTTTACAAAAATATCTTGTCTGCAGGCAGAATTAAATATATCTTTAATAAATGCTAATTACTGCATAACAAAAGTTTTTCAAATCAAAGTTTGTATAAACCTAGCTTTTCACTACAATAGTTTGATTTGAGGAGATCACATTTGGGTTTTTAAAATATTTTACTTTCTCGCATATACAGAGTGTGGAGAAAGTATTGTAATCGTGCAAAAAAAAAAATAAGTTTGATTATTATTACTGATTTAAATGTTTAAAATAATTGAATTAATAAAATTAAAAAACTAAAACTGAGGACTGTATAAATATAGATGTTTGAAAGGGAAGAATGTTTGCTTTGATGTGTCTCATTGTAATAACATAACGTTTCCTATTGCTTACATTTAATATCATTTTAATTAACTGTAATCCCAAATTTATTTCAACTCTACTTAAAAACCCAAATTCCACCCAGTCCACACCCCCCCCCCCCCTCAGCCCACCACGCCGAGGAAAAAATATCCCTTGAATCATCACTTAATTACACATTTGCATTTTCAGGTTGTTTTTTTTCTATTTTTTTTTAAATAAAAAAAAATATTTAGACGTTTTGTATTAGATCTATGTATAAATAAATTATCTAAAATGAATGAAAGTAGGCTGCAATACAAGTAAGAAAGAAATATTACTATTGTAAATCTGTATCAGTCCTCATAAGCCGATGATGAAAACTGTAATACTAAAGCGAACACACAACTGACGCTGTAAATTACATGTTTGAGACGAGAAAAAAACAAAAAAAAAAAACTTAGGTGTGACATTAATGTCGCTCTACACAATTTTGGTGGTGAGGTGGGGGTGGGGGTGGGGGGTTGGGGCTAGAGGGGGGGATAACCAATTCAGAGTGAACATAACGTCAGTTTTTAGATGACCGTTCTAAACATACATATACAATTACACATGTATACTGATTCAGAAATTGATTTAAATAAGTAGCAGTGGTATTATGACAATGTGTTTTACAGAGGGGTCCATGGGGGGAGGGGGGTAATCCACATAACCCTCCCCCCCCTGCCTACGCCACTGAGCTGAGCGGATAATTAACTGTGCGATCAGTGTTAGTTTAAATTAAGTTGTTGTTTTTTTAAATACAAAATATAGCATTATTCAAATTTAATATAGATCTAGATCTAGTAAACTAAAATAATAATTAATATAAAGTTGATACTGTTTCATATAATTTGTAATCGTAATTACTATCGCCCAAACTATCGTAATACTACTACTTCATCGTGATGACGTTGTTGACCTTGTCAAAATGTCCCCACCGCTACGCAGTTTGCTCATAAGTAAATTTAAATAGAGTTGCCACATCAGTTGTATTTGTGTCTGTATTGTGTCTGTATTGTAATTTCATAAAATAAATTATATGATTCAAACTGTATGTATAAAGTAATTACGTGTGAAGTTTTATGAATAACATTTTCTAATTCAATTATTCTTAAGCAAATACATTATACAGTTGCCTTAAACTTTACACCCCTCTTGCCAAGTGGTACTACTCGTAGAGGTTTTTTAAACGTTGCAATGCAATGCATTGTAATAATTTATTTTTAGAATGAGAAACTGATACAGCTGCTAATACGTGTTGTAAACGTAGACTCTACTAGTCTATTACTGTTATGCTTAATGGCTGCATGAAATAAATCTTGTGATTTCCATAGATGTGCCGACCAAAAAAAAAGTAAAAAAATATAATGGTTTAAGACTTTGAGTTTAAAAAGTTTCCAAAAAGGCGCCACTTTGCTGAAAATTTCCAGATGGGGAGCGGGCATTCTCCCTGCTCCCACGTTGCGTACGCTACTGCTGTCTGTAATAAACCGCTGTATTTGACAAAACAATTCAATCTATAAACAAAGTGAACCCGTAATGCCTGTGGTACGATCGTTAAGTTATGTAGTTTAAAGCTCTGTTTAGGGGTCATCCATAAATGACGTCCCGCTTTTTTGGACGATTTTTACCTCCCCACCCCTTCCCTCCGTCACACGTCGTCACAAAAAGCCAGACCCCCCCCTAAAATGACGTCACACCTCAACCTACAACCCCCCTCAAAATTGCAGTTGAATTTTCTTAAAACATCGATATTTTTCTAAAATCTTGTCTAAACTATTACAATTTATTAAAACAGTTATCTAAAATGCGAAATAACGTCTAAAATTCGTTTTCTAACATTGCTTTTTTATAATGCAAAAATGTGACGTCGCAACATCTGAACCCCCTCCCCCTCATCACACATCGTCACAAAATTACGGACCCCCCCTCCCCCCTACGAGTGTGACGTCATTTATGGATGACCCCTAAGGGCCTTTAAATAAAACAAACATTACACTATCCAAGATGAAAGTTAAAAAAAAAACAACAACAACAACCCACAATGATAACCAGGACCATTTGTCTAAATACCGTCCTAAGCACAACACTGTCGATATTCACAATCGCTACTATCTTTGTTTTGTCAGTGGTATATATATTCTGGGGTATTGTGTCTGACATAATTATTCATGAGATCATTCGTTATGGAACCGTTATAAGATTACATAAATATCATCTGAAATCAATTGGTTTGATTCACGCTGTTGTTATAAATCAATACATAATATATTTAATGATTGAAAATAACATTTTAAAATGAATAGTTTAATAAGCTTTTACAACAATTATCATCGTTTATATTAGCAATGAACGCTAGATACTGTGTTATTCTTGTTTATTCCAGTTGAGATTTGAAGAATCAAATCTTGCTCCATTGGTTTCAGACGTTTGTTTATACAAGATTGGAATAACTATGTTAATACAAAAATTAGAAGTCTAGACGAATTAAAACTGTTTTAAAAATAGTTTTATTTACACTTTAAATACATTTTTGTTGAATGTTCTAGAACATGCAATGACTGTGGAATCAGAAGACTAGAACCGCAGCTACAACCAGACTTATCCCCACCACAGCAGACCTGGATGGCACCATCATCCCTGCAGCGTCACACAGGCTGGAACCGTTACAGCTGGGAGGCTGGGGACCGTTGCAGTAGTCAGTCTGGCAGTACCTGTAGCAGACGAGACGTGTCAGGCCGGGCAGGTAGGCGCACGTACTGGCGTTGTTGGCGGCGATGTTGGTGAAGCGTGACGAGTTGAATTTTTCTGGAAAGCTCTCGCCGTCGGTACAGCCTCTATGGAACAAGGTGTATTTACCTGGGGGAAACGGTTATTATTATTTTTTAAACCACATATGTATCATTTAAAATAAAGTTCATATTTGTTTTTGTTGCAAACCAGTTTTTGATGTTTTAAATGTCGTTCCCTACCGCGTTCAACTAATTTTTATACAAAATAAAACTAAACCCAAAAAATTACCTTAAAACCTAAGCCTGAGCCTAAACTATCAGACGGTTTAAACACTCTTATAACACGACAATTACACAAATTTTAACATTTTATGTTAAAAAAGTTAACATGATATGTTTGTCAAGTGAATAACTCAACGGCAATGTAAATATAGATACGACAATACTCATAGATCGAGGGTCACCATTTTAAGTTTTGTTTATCATTTAGAAGTCAAACTGATGTTCAATAGTATCAGATAGTACACATACAATGTCATAGTAACCAGTGGCGTAACGAGGTCGGGTGTCACCCGGTGCGGCACTTAATGGTGTCACCCCCCCCCCCCCCCAGAGACGTAGCGACCCTTCCCGGAAACAAACTTTCAAGTTTTCGATTTGCACCCCCCTCCCCTCAAACGTTCGCTTTTCACCCCCCCCCCTCAAGTTTTCGATTTGCAACCCCCCTCCTCAAACTTTCGATTTGCTATTTTTTGCCTTGGTGTCACCCCCCTAAATGGTGTCACCCGGTGCGGTCCGCACCCCCCCCCTCGCTACGCCCCTGATAGTAACATATAGAAACACATAATACCAAAAAAAAATATAGCACCTCAAACTATCATATAGAACCACACAGTTTCTCAGAGGAAAACATAGTGGTACCTATACCAAACAGTGCAGATGATGCAGTCTAGTCATTCAAAAATCCATATGGTTGTTACGTCCCTTACATGTAGCATCCTCTGATGTGTGTGTGTTGTGTGTGTGTGTGTGTGTGTATTGTGTGTTCGAACGACAGGTACCCTCTCTTTGTTTATAGTTGTAGCCCTTGGTAGAGTGTGTTTACATGGAGCGAGAAGTGTTCACGTGAGGTGTGTCAGTTGACGGGTGTCAGAGCGTGTGCTAGGGTGTGTGGCGGTTGGTTGGCGTGTGATTATGGAGGAGGACGTGGAGTGTGTTAAGTAATGTGTATGGTAATTTGTGTCGTAAACTTTTTTAAGTTATTATTAATTATAGTATTGTAGTATTATATATATATATATATATATATATATATATATATATATATATATATATATATATATATATATATATATATATGTATATGTAAAAACTCTTTAGTATTATTTAATATCATCATTAGTGTTATCTAGTCTGTTGTATCGTACGCTATACGTTGTGTTGTCCATTATACAATATATCACCAAGTAAGTTCCACATAGTACCATATTTTACGACGATGTACTAAATACGTCTCAACAAGAAAAAACCAGCCTATAAGTATGTCAGCCAGCAACACATACCCTCTGTCTCAGCACTTTCAATCATACACATAGTCCAGTTCTTATTCATTGCCGTGCAGTCTTTCTTGTAGAGAGTAGAGTTGCCCAAGGAGGTGTTGATCAGACCCTGCCAGTCGTGTAGGCAGTTCTGGTGCTCACTCGTGTCTCCACACTGGTAGCAGAGGAGGCATTCTGAAACATAGCAAACACTTGTAAGTTGTAGGCTAGATCAGTCTGGCTCAGAGGCGTAGCGAGGGGGGGACGGGGGGTGCGGAACGCACCGGGTGACACCATTTAGGGGGGTGACACCAAGGCAAAAAATAGAAAAATATATTGAGAAAACCTTGAGGGGGGGTGCAAATCGAAAGTTTGAGGGGGGGGGGGGGGGGTGGCGCAAATCGAAAATTTGAAAGTTTGTCCCCGGGAAGGGTCCATACGCCTTGGGGGGGGGGGGGGGTGACACCATTAAGTGCTGCACCGGGTGACACCCGACCTCGCTACGCCACTGGTCTGGCTTTGTACAATATAGAATTAAACATTCAAATGTTAGGTGTAGGCTTATAAGTTAAACATTTAGAGGTTTTATTATATCAGTAAAACATTTAGAAGTTTGGTTGTATCAGTTAAAACCTAGATGTTTTTATTATATCAGTTTTAAACATTTAGATGTTTTGTTGTATTAGTCAAACATCTAAATGTTTGGCTTTATCAGACTAGATGTATTTGTTTCTGTATCTCTAAGCAAGACAAAATATAAATATTTTAGAGATTTCAGAAGTCATTCATGTTTTAAGAACAAAAAATCTTTTCGACTAAATAAAACTAAAGAAATAATTCCAATATAGACTACTTGTTGACATTTTGTCATTGACAGGATCCTGCTTCAGTGATGTAAGTAAAACAGGTACTGGTAGCACGTCCCACTAAGCTGCTAGCCGTGCAAGGCACACGAGGGAAGGTGTAGTATGGATACGTGTCTAAAACTCAGAATACGCACCATGTTTCGGCACACGAGGCGTAGTATGGATACGTGTCTAAAACTCAGAATACGTACCGTGTTTCGGCTTTCGTACAAACCCGTCTCCAGTATTATTTAGACAAACTTTACATTTTTAATTAAATAGGCTATTGTAGAATGTCTTTATGTAAAGTAGTTGGCCATTGGTGGTTTAATTGTATTTAAAGAATCCCCAGTTGGTCCCTTAAATTGTTCACCATTTACATAATTATATTACTGATCTTTAAAGTGAAATAGACAGACTCTTAGGAATGCGTTATTCGTATTCTTGTGCTATAAATGAAAATATTTAGTTTCGATGTGATAAACAAATGCAAGCATTAAAACATTTTAAATTCTGAACTACGTGTTGAAAAGATCAGCAGTATTTTTAAGGAATTTGGGGGCGGGGGGTCGCTATTGGAGGGGGTGGGGGTTTAGAATGTACACGGGCCATTCTGACTAGTACCTAAATTGTATATGTTAAAAATATATGGATACAAAATATGGGACTAGGTAAATTGTATCATAATCTTGGAACAACCTGCATTAAAAACTAATTTTAAATCTAATACAATTAGTTTTGGAATCAAACAAATTTATATTAGGCTAGTAAGCTAATTATGAATGTATTGGCGTATTTGGAAGGCAGGTTGCAGGGGAAAGAAATATACTCGGCCAATGCCACATTCTAAGGCGATTGATGGAGCATGTCCTAGGAATGAATTCAGAAGACATCGCAGGAATGGAAAGAAAGCAGGGAGGCCAAAGGAGAGGTGGAGGCACACAGCGGGGAAGCAGCAGACAGGCAGGACAATCACGAGGGACTGCCAGGAAAATAGCTGGTGACCGACAAATGTGGAGGGAGCTTTCTGTGACGGCCCCATATGTCTTGGACACAAAAAGGAAAAGATGATGATGCCACATTCTAATATTTCAATAACAACATAACTCATCACCGGCCGTGTGTATACAGTGTTTGTGTTGAAGTGATATATTCGTTTATGCGTAAGAGGTAGGTAATATACTACATCGCTACAATCAGCCTTAAATTATTAAATAGCTAGGTCTTACATTGGTACAAAGCAAGGACCTACAATATTATACCGCTAAGCTATATAAAACATGTATCTATAAGTCCTATGCGATAGACGCTGAAACTGCTGTAGAGCTGTATCAATTTCACATGTCCATAGTGCTAAGCCCCATATCGGCATATTACCAGTGTTTCTTTTAGACTTTTCTCTCCGGGGAGAGAGGGGGGGGGGGCTTGACATTTTCGGAAGATGGGGTGGGGGGGGGGGGACAATTGTAGAAGTATATTTTTTCTATTAACATTCTATTTTGTAAGGGGGGGGGGAGTGGTAGCCAGAAAAAAATTCTGCATCAACTACTGACACGTATATACTTAAATCCATTTGCCCTATTAGACTAGTACTTTTGTAAAATAGATTTCTAAACAATATATCGAAATATCCTATATTCATTTTCTCAAGGCATTATTTTGATATATCGCTTGGCCTTATATATATATATATATATATATATATATATATATATATATATATATATATATATATATATATATATATATATATATATATATATATATAATTTCTTAGCTCTTTATGTGTTTTTCGTTTGCTGTATATTGTTATAACGCGATGCCTTATATATTATATCTCTAGGCCTATCCCCTAACAACACACTAGCTGTCAACTGTGTAGTTTGTCTAGTGATCTTGTATTTTGTGTTGTGTGCTTGACCTAAATTTTTATCACATTTTTTTCGAAGATAAACATTTGGATTTTTACATTCTAAAAATAGGTCGTCATGAGAACATTTACAATGTGTAGATTGATATAATTTAATGTGTTTATGATTGCCTTTAGTTGAATAAACCATCCTGTTTGCGTTGTTTAAAATTTTGTAAATATTTTAAAGTATATCTGTATTATTCGTGTACATAAACATAGCTAATTATGTACAGCTTTGATTTATTTAGTTATTGTTTAATCTGAATTTTTGGTTTACAGACTTTATTAGGTTACTGATAGGTTGATACATTCATTATTCGATCATTAATTTAAAGGTAAACTTACTAAAACAATTAATTAATAGCTTAGCTAAGAAAGAAAATCAATTCTAAAATATGTATACCACTTCACTGTAACGGTGGCCAAAGTAATTACTTTTAGTATTTAAAGTAATCATTTGAGTAATTAATTAATGCATTATTTAGTTTTTTAATTAAGCATTACGTCATCAATTGAATTAATTATTGAGTTTTATAAATGGCTGATCGTAAAGTTTAATCCTACGAAATAACATTAATAAATAACAAAACATTTAACATTAACTATTTAAGTAGTTATAATACTTTACCTGATACAATGGGGAATAAAATCACAATTAGTATAGGGAGCACGCAATTAACCTTTTTCTTTTCATCAGTCATTATATACACTCTTGGAAAAACATTAAAGAACATAAAAGTTTTATAACATCCTATATCAGAAATGTGTATCAATAACTGGTATTGTTCGCATGACTGACGTTTTGACGGTTAGGTGAGGCTTATCTGTATGATGACTGATGACAGACTGTACAACAATGTTGTCTGACTGACATACAGTGTTGGATCCCGGTATAGCTGCAGCTAGACTAGCTTGGACCAGGAACACAGATATCTCGACACAGTCATAGGGTCTTACAGCTAAACATAACGGCCAATCACAACTGTCGTCTTATCGGGTTGATTTGGGTGTAGTTTTATCTTTGTCACACACACAAACATATACACATAGGCTCACACAGGCAACCACACTCACACACACAAACACACACTCATACATCTGCAAACTTAGATAAGTGGTAAGAATTTGTTGTGTCCTTTTTATCTATACGGAAGTCAACACAAAATAAGTTAATGAAATAAATATGAATAACACATTATTCACGCTTTAAGGCTTTTAATCAACAGTGGCTGGTATCTAAATATACTTCTTTCTTAGTGCTTGTAGCTTAAAAATATTTTTTAAGAGAATCGCGAATCATAAAAAAACAACACTTTAAATTATTTTTATATTATATACATCATGTTATCATTATATAAACATAATTACCTACTTAGAAAATTGTGTAATAGTTTTAAATTACTGAGAAGTATTTTACCTCGCAGTAAAAAAAAATAACAACACAAAAAAAAGACTTAAAAAGATGAGTCAAATCTATGGCTGATTGCATAATTACAACATTGATTGCGTGTTAATTATAGAGTAGGCTAATATTAAAACATAATTTAAAAATCAAATAAAAATGTTTACATAAAAACTAAAAGCTAAATTATATTGAGAATCAATCATTCAAATCAATATGTAACATATTTCAGTCACTCTAGTTGCTTTTCGTTTCAATAGAGTTATTGAACCAGAACAGAGCAGCCCCTCACACCGAAGTACTCCGCCGACCTTCAGCAGAGGACGCTAGTCTCTCAGTCATGACGGACGTGTGTCTGACCTCACTGTACGCCTTACTGTCCCGACACTTCATCTTGTCCACTGTCGCCCACCTGTCACTCATCTTCCCCTCGGTGATACCCACCATCGCCATGTCCACTGATGACTCCGCTTTTCTCGACTCGGAGTCAGACGGCAGACTGTGCCTCCACTCCGCCTCGTCCTTCCCGTAGACGTCCATTTCGTGGTCCTCTACCTCCAAGGAGAGCGAGTGTACAGACGAGGCGACAAATCTTGTATACTTCTCCCTGTGTAGTTTCTTTAAACATTTCTTCCAGTGCCACGGTAAGTTGGTCAGCATCATCGTGTACACGGTTCTGTACTCAAACCTCAGTATAGCGTACACCGGACCGTTGACCACTGAGTTCCCGAACGTGAGTAGTAGGGCGTAGACTTTGATCGTCTCCACGATGTGGTCAGGGAATACCTGGTACAGCTTGAATGGGAGCACACACAAATACGGCACCGTCATGACGATGAAAACAAAGGTGAGCGCCATGGTGATCTTGACACTGCTCACCCTAGCTCTAAACCGACGCTTCTGCTCACTGCTGTAGTTGGCGCTCTGCGTCTTGTAGGCCCGCAGCTGCCGTAGCACGATAAACCCGGTGTGGATGTTAACCACAGTGGATAAGACGACCGCCGAGTCGTTTGGCACCATCAGGAACCAAATGATGAAAGGTTTGGGTAGTGTCGTGTAGAAGTTGCAGCGCTCGTTCAGATTTTCGATGCTATAGTCGTAGTTGTTCCACCCTAACAGCGGGAGTGATGCTTTAGTTACGGTGTACACGGCTGATACTATAGTGATGTAGATGGCGCGTCTGAAGGTTATCCAGGCGTGGTGTCTGACAGGCGACAAAATCGCCAGGTAGCGATCTAGCGACAGCAGCATCAAACAGTACAAGGCGCCGTCGTTGCTGACTAAAGAGGTGATGAGTTTAAACAGACAGAGGTATTTCCTGCCGGAGATGTACTCCCTGGTTCCAGAGGTGTAGCACAGGATGAACATGGGGAGGCAGACGGCGCCCATGGTGAAGTCAAAGGCGGCGATGGCCAGCAGCAAGACGTTATTGCTGGTGTGGAACCCCGGGTAGAGCAAGATGCCACAGAAGACCAGGATGTTGATGAACACGGCCATGGGGATCATGATGGACGCCACCACGATGAAGACATTGTGAGAGAGCTTGACCTCGATGGTCGCGTAGATGTCCTTCTCGTCCTTAGTCACCATCTCCTCGCCACTCCAGGAAAATATGAAGCCGTACGCGGTCATGTTGGGCGGTAATCTCCCCTGACTACATGACGTAATGGCAGTGACGTAATGATACTAGCCGGTCTGGAAAATAATAAAGAGTCATTCTAGTAAAAGTTTACACTCTCCGGGTAATCACACTGTGAAACATTTTCAAAACAACAAATATATAATATTTCTAATTACAAATAATAAAATGTTGTATTTTAACAAATTTAAAATAATTTAACTATTTCATGTATTGTTAATTTAGCAACATTTTTATTTCAACGCAAATTGTATATACATATATGTATAGCAAAATTTAGTAAAGATACTAGGATAAATACGCCATCATATATTATAGAAACTAAGTAGACTAGTAGACTATAGGTATGCCCATCACACAACATTTTGATTATATTATTCATCACACTGGACTAAACCTAACCTGAACTCCGTACGTGGCTCCTACAGAGCTATGAAAAGTAAGTACCTCAATAGAATACTGTTATTTCATTGACTGTGTTTCTTCAAATATGAGTGGTAATTACTTAACTCAAGCATAAACTTAACTCTAGATTTATAGATCTAGAAATCTAGTTCTTGATCTAGATCTTTGAACAATTTTTATGTAGGACCTGTTCTACATATTGCTAGTCAACAAAGCATAGTTTAAAAATATATAACTTGGCGTTGTAATATTGCTATTAACATGCCTAAGATTTATAAATCATAATAAATCTGAACAAAAAAAAACAAAAACTTACATTAAAATATTTTCTATTCATAATTATAAATAAGCAGACATAAAAAAAACATTCACCGCAAAAAGGAAGTATTGTTTTTGAACACGGTATTGGTCTATATTTAGTTACAGGAAGTGCGCAAAATTAGAAAAATATACAGAGAAAATGCGAAGTGTTTATAGTAAGAACTATAAGTAAGAAATAGTGTAGTCAAGACTATGCCCAGACGTTATCCCCTCCCCTAATGTGAATCAAATACCCATCAATACTAAGTCAGACAACCATTATGTTAGAAATTAAGTCATTGACATTCTCCGTTTATTTTCGTTTGACCTATGGCATTAGTTTTTCATTTCACTATGTGTTGAACTTTTTTAGTTTTTGTATGTCCAATTACTGAAGAGTGAGTGTATTTAGAAAACGGATCTGTGGTGTACCGGATCTGTAGTGTTCCGTGTGAGGGTCAGTTATATATGGTGAGACAGGGGCGTAGGCAGGGGGGGGGGGGTTAGGGGGGTCATAACCCCCCCCCCCCCATAGACCCCTCGGTATATATATATATATATATATATATATATATATATATATATATATATATATATATATATATATATATATTTAAAGTATGAGGGGGGGGGGTGCAAATCGAAAGTTTGAGGTGGGGGGTTCAAATCGAAAGTTTGAGGGGGGGGGATGCACATCGTTAGTTTGAGGGGCGGGGGTGCAAATCGAAAGTTTGTCCCCGGGTAAAAATTGGAACCCTCCCCCCCCCCCCTGAAGACGATCCTGGCTACGCCACTGTGGTGAGATGTATAGTGTGCATTTGCCTTGAGAAACTAACTACAATCGTTAAAAATGGTATTGCCCAACCTACCAGTACATATAGATACAGCTTAAAAATTCCAATGCACAGTGCATATGATTTCAAATAAGAGTTTGTCACACGCTGAACCTGGCTCAATGTTTTTAGTTAACTAATATTAATTAACATTTCTTTTTTTTACGTTAGATGGAAATAGCGAACAGTGATGCACTCTAAATGAAACACTTCTTATGAAAATGTAGGTTACTATATTGCTTGTAATTCAAACATTGAAAATGGTATAACATATTTTGGTAGAAACGATTCTTTAAAGTAAGAAGTAGACTTTATGCATTCAAAAATAGTTTCATGAACATATTTTAATGTAGAAAGAAACTGCGTTTTTACTCACTGGTGATGAAAGCGTAAATAGCTGTATAGATTTACACGTGAAACTCTCAAGAAAATATTACTTGAAAAAAAAACCGGGAGTGATCTCCCCTAAACTTTCTCGAATATTCTTATATAAAATAACAGGGGATGGGAACTCGGGCTATAGACATGATTTTTAATCCATTTTAAATACTTAAAGTTTTAAAAATAGAATAAAATCTCGTAGACAAATTAATTGCACACCAAGTGAACGCGAAATAAAAAAGCGCATAATAGTGCGCAATATTATTATTACTTTTAAAATTTACATTAGTTTTTTGAGAAATCGGAAGTAGCGTAAAGTACTACTTCCAGTCAACGGAAATGACTCAAAATTTAATAGAAGGTAGAGAATTAGATCTTTTACTTACGTATGAAATTTCATTTATCTATCTGAAATAGTACTCAAGTTATAGGCTTTTGAAAAATTCAAAGTAGAAAAAGTACCACTTCCGGTTGTCGGAAATCGCTCAAAAGTTGATACGGATCTACGATTTTGATAAAATACTTATATATGAAATTTCATCAACCTAGCTGTAACGGTACTCAAGTTATCGTGTTTACACACGGACACACACACACACACACACACACACACACACAGACACACAGACATACGGACAAGATTGCAAAATTATGTTTTTCCGTATCAGTGAGATGCAAAACGTCCAGATTTGCAAAAATCTCGATTTTTTTTTTTTGCACGATTACAAGACTTTCTCTATACTTCGTATATACGAGAAAGTAAAAAACGATCTGAATAATATATTTACATTGGTTATTTTATGAGTAAAATCTCATACGAAAAATCTGGGTGGGAGCATGTAAGCAGTCGTCTCTTACCAGTGGTGTTGTTTGGTCGGGTTTCATGCAAATCATGGTGTCACCCCTCTCCCTACACCGAATAAAAAAAATAGGCTATATATATATATATATATATATATATATATATATATATATATATATATATATATATATATATATATATATATCTTATTAATCTTCTTAGACCGTCAGTGAGGAGGGGTGTGGGAAAAATTGTAATTTGTATGTATATGTAAGTATGTGTAACATGTAATGGTATATCATAACTGTATGTAAAATGTAATGATTTTTAAGGGGGAAGTATGTTACTAAAATATAATGTAATGTAGGGTTGAAGTGTGTTTCTAAATGTAACTGTATGTTGGGGTGGTAGTGTTTCCGAACTGTAAAGGAGAAAAGGGTGTTACCATATATAACGTTATGTAAGGGAGGAAGGATGTTTCTACGATATAATTAGGCAGGAAGATTGTTACTGAATTGTAATAGCGTGTAAAGGAGGTAGAGTGTTTCAAAATGTAATCTTATGTAAAAGGAGTGTTTTTAGCACGTCACTTCACGGTACGGCCTTGAGTTTAGCTGTGGTTGTAACCAAGTGTGGAGTGGTACATTTGTCGCTTGCATACTCACAACCACAAACGACCTTGAGCTACTCACGTGATCGCAACAAAAACAGGAAATAAACTCTTTTATTCGTTGAAGTATTATGACACTTTGCAATTTCATTGTATATTTCAGCGTGTTTTCACTCACCAGTTATTCGCTGGGTGATCAAACTTTCAACCACATCGTCCACTGCTGTATTGTGTGAGCGGGGTGAACATGCTGTCTAGGGTGGCACTAGTTGTGCTGACCATTTGTGTCTACCTCCTGCTGGTGGAACCCCAGAGACAGCGTACATCTAGACCTGTGGGGAGAAGACCGACGCCAGCGCCAAGTAAGTTCTAGTTCAGACACTTTAGTCAAAATAAGCAAGTTCTCATTTTAAATCAATACTACTTAATAAAATAATCTTTATTTTTCAAGTTTGAAAATCGCGAATCTAGTAGATGATGATAACGATATCTAGAAACTTAGTATTTGATAATTATATTTTTCCACGATGAAGTATGTAACCATTCGAGCCAAATGATCTATTGGCCGTTTGAAGTAGGGTTCACCTGTTTCTGTGATCTCAGCATATGAAGGGATAGTGGTTAGCACTATGCCCAGCCACATTGACGTTTCCTAGCATGAGTCAGGTACCCATCAGAGTTACTTGCCTCAAGCACAGCCTACTGACTGGAGACCGAGATCCGAACTTGTGCCTTACGGGTTAGCATTCGAACGCTCTACAGTTCAAACGCGACGATAAAGAAATATTGTTAAATACACTTTACAAAATGATCGGGTATGAGGCTAAATATATATATATATATATATATATATATATATATATATATATATATATAATATATATATATATTATATACTAGCTGCATACCCGTGCTCCGTCACGGTAACTATTTTTAAAATGTACCAACTGTGGAACAGAACAAAACAAGCACAAACACAACTCAAATACAAAACAAAAAATTGAGAGCCAATGTATATTTCCATTCTTTCTAAGATCGCCTACTGTACGGTGACATCAATAGACTGAGACCTACAGGGAAAAGAAATGGAGGTCAGTAGTTGTCATTTCTTTAAATTAGCCTCCAGACGTTTAGAGCGTTTCTTTCAGGCATCGTCTTCAGCCTCTTATAGGCGAAAGGACACAATTTATCATTGATTTAGAAAATATATACATTATCCAGGGCCACATTCCCTCCCTAACCGGAAATAATTTTAAGTGCACTCTTTCTGAAAAAAATGTCTGAAAAAAAGTTTAAATATTGTTTGATCTCTGCTATTAGTTTTAGCAAACACATGTATGGTTGCTTGTATGATGTCATTGAAAAACTTTATTGTGCAAATCAACGAAACAAATATCTATATCTAAATAATAGTCTTAAACTCTGCTTATTAGCAAATATTTATGTAGTATTCTCGGTTTTATGTTCAAATACTAACCAATATAAAACACATGATCTTAACATGTTATATTCACGATCATAGCGTATGTTATCTTATTTCCAAGTATTTGTGATAAAAATGTAAGTGATCCTAAATTTTAAACACTCGATTTGTATGTGATCTTTGTTGTTTAATATTTACAATCTTACTGTATTTAATCTTTATGTGTTTATAATGTGCGCAATCTTTATGTCCTAGTATTCAAAATAATTTGGCTGTGATGTTTTTGTTCCAGGCGTTTACGCATCAAACTTGACTGTTAGCCAGCACCTACCCGCCCTACAGAGGAAACGCCACTGTTACAACTCAGTGGCCAACAGTAACAGTAGGTTCTGACTTGATGTAACAATACGTGACACTACAGCTATCCGTGACAATACGTTACAGTACAGCTGTCCGTGACAATACGTGACACTACAGCTGTCCGTGACAATTGGTGAAACTACGGCTATCAAGTAATAACGTGTAACACTAAGGGTTCCAACGTCACGTATCAGTTGTAATGACTTTGTAATGTCTGACACTGTGGTCATCACTTAGCAATGTTACCCATGATGTCACTGGCCTGACAATGAGACTGTGGTCACCGCTTGACAAAGTATGACAGTGGCAGCGTGCAATAGTTTTAATTATATTACTGCTGTAGAGAACATCAAAAACAATTATGGACATCTCGTTATCTAAAAAAAAAATGCCCCAAGAATAAATATTCCTCACTGAGAATAATGTTGACCTAAAGTAAAATAAACTGACTTTTTCAGAGCTCCAGGCCTCGCTTATTGCCGCCATTGCTAGCCGTGAATCAAGCGGGGGGATCACAATTAACAGGACCAACGGGTACGGGGACAGGGGTCGGGCCTATGGAATCATTCAGGTAATGAATCATGTTCCACAATGTTAATACTTTGATGGGCGTCTGATAAATATCGAATCCACATCTAAACTTAGCATTGACGACCAGTGGCGTAGCGAGGTCGGGTGTCACCCGGTGCGGCACTTAATGGTGTCACCCCCCCAGAGGCATAGAGACCCTTCCCAGGGACAAACTTTCAAATTTTCGATTTGCACCCCCCCCCCTCAAACTTTCGATTTGCACCCCCCCCTCAAGTTTTCGATTTGCACCCCCCCCCCTCAAACTTTCGATTTCCACCCCCCCTCAAGTTTTCGATTTGCACCCCCCCCCCTCGAGTTTTTCTCTATATATTTTGCTATTTTTTGCCTTGGTGTCACCCCCCTAAATGGTGTCACCCGGTGCGGTCCGCACCCCCCGCCCCCCCCCTCGCTACGCCCCTGTTGACGACACAACGCTTAAGTATAACACAAACACAACCCTTAAGTATAACACAAACACAACCCTTAAGTATAAAACAAACAAAACCCTTAAGTATAACACAAACACAACCTTTAAGTATAACACAAATACAACCCTTAAGTATAACACAAATACAACCGTTATGTATAACACAAACACAACCCTTATTATAGCCCGAACATAAACAGTCAAAATATAACCTTATTAAAGAAATCATAAACGTGAAATATTTTGATATAACTCAGTGTTGAATCAATGTTGTAACCAAACTACCAGATAAACGAAATGTGTCCTGTACAGTTACATTCGTTAGGTTCCACTGTATATTATTTTAAAATTGTCATTAAGTAAAGATGTGTTGTTTGGCACACATTGTCTTAGAGCTGAATATTGTGAGACCAGGCGCTAATTTAGACGAATCGGAATTTTAAAAAATGGTTAACGTCCTTTGGTAATTGTGGCGAGTAGATGATGATATTAACTCGCAACTTGACCTTTGTAGTGTGACCTCAGGACGTCGGGTCTAAACTGCACCAAGTACCGCTGGGACAGCTGTGAGCACATGCAGATGATGGTCAGTCAGCTGGTGGTACCCTACATTCAGAGCGTGAGTACTTCGTCACTTACACACACAAACACACACACAGACAAACACACAAACAACACACAGACAGATGCAGATGATGGTCAGTCAGCTGGTGGTACCCTACATTCAGAGCGTGAGTACTTCGTCACTAACACACACAAACACACACACAGACACACACAGAGATACACACACAGACACATGCAGATGATGGTCCGTCAACTCGTGGTACCTTACATTCAGAGCGTGAGTACTTGGCTGTCTTCGTCACTCACACGCACAGACAAAGACACTCACACACACAGACACACACAGAGACACACACACATACACACAGACACACACACAGACACACACAGAGACACACACACATACACACAGACACACACAGAGACACAAACACAGAGACATACCCAGACACACACACAGACATACCGAGACATACCGAGACACACACACATACACACAGAGACACACACAGAGACACACACATAGACACACACAGAGACACACACAGAGACATACCCAGACACACACACACAGACATACCGAGACACACACACATACACACACACAGACACACACAGAGACACACACAGAGACACACACAGAGACACACACACACATGCAGATGATGGTCAGTCAGCTTGTGGTGCCCTACATTCACAGCGTGAGTACTTTATTGTCTTAGTCACTTACAGAAACCCACTCACAGACACTCGTACACACACTCTTGCAAATAAACTCACATAGACACTCACACTCTCTCACAAACATACATACACACTTACATACAAAAAGATACACAAATTCAATTATTTAAAGGGGGGAGGTGTACTGTTACGTTGTTGTATACTTAAAAGCCGCAAATACTGACCTACCCAAGACAGTCTAACTATTTTAATCATGACCTTATCTCTAGTCCAAAAACCTAACCATGAGCCTTTTAATGAAAAATTATAAAGCAGTTTTATTCGGTAATTTTTTTTTCTCTTAGGTTAGAAGGAAATTTCCTCGGTGGACAATTGACAGGACTTTACAGGGTAAATATCTCAAGTCATACTATCTCTAAGCCGCACTTACAACGTCATTTAGCCGTTAGAAAACATAATCAGCTGGCAACATTTTTTTTGGTCTTCCTTCTCAGGGGGCGTGGCCGCCTTTAACTTTGGCGTGAGTAACGTGCGCTCGTGGGAGGGTCTGGATGACGGAAGCACGGGCAACGACTACAGCAATGACGTCATCGCCAGAGCCCAGTGGCTCCATAAGAGAGGATGGAATTAACTCAACATGACTCTAACTTCAAACCAGTGTTAAAACAAAATCTTAATCAACTACTTTGCTTATATTTTATTTCTTAATGTAACGTTAGTTGTTTTTTTTTACTTTCTCGTATACGAAGTATAGAGGAAGTATTGTAAACGTGCAAACAAAAAAAAAGAAATTTTTACAAAACTCGATTGTTTTACACCTCCCTGAGTCGGAAAAACAGTTTTGTGTATGTGTGAGTCTGTGTGTTTGTAAACACGATACATTGAGTACCCTTACAGCTACGTTGATGTCATATCATATATACGTATTATATCAAATTTGTAGATCCGTATCAACTTTTCATCGATTTTCGATAGCCGGAAGTGGAACTTTTTCTTTCAATTTTTCAAAAACCTATAACTTGAGAACTATTTCAGATAAATGAAATTTCACATAAGTAAAAGATCTAATTCTCTGCCTTCTATCAAATTTTGAGTAACTTCCAATGACAGGAAGTAGTAATTTTAGGTTATTTCCGATTTCTAAAAAAAACGCATGTGAATTTATAAAGTACTGATAATATTCCGCACTATTATACACATTTTATTTGGCGTTCACTTGGTGTGCAATGCTCTTTTCTACGATATTCTAAACTATTTTAAAACGTTTAAGTAATTAAAAAGGGATTTAAAATATTGTCTGTATCCCGAGTAGTGTTATATAAGAATATTCGAGAAAGTTTAGGGGAGATCACTCACGGTTTTGCTAAACCGAAAACTCTCGAGTTCGAACCCTCGGGCAGATGAGGCTCGTTAGCTGGGGACAGCCACTCTTCTAGGAGAGACAACTCTAAAATCAAGCAACTGCTGCCTTGTAGTTTGTTCTTGGTTGGACAAAGGCTATGGAAGCAAATCCAAAAAGAAAAGCAGGCCGAAATCGGAGTAAATGGCCTCAATGGCGCATAACCAGTTGATACGTATCCTTAATTGTGTTGGAGGCGTGGTCGAGTGGCAAAAGCTAATGGTTGATAAATTCGAAATTCTCTCGAGTTCAAACCCTCTGGCAGATAAGGCTCGATCCCTTCCAACACTAAAAATTAAGAACGAAGAAGAAGAGGAAACTCCCGGTTTATTAATTACTTAAGTCAAAGGCGGCGATGGCCAGCAGCAAGACGTTGTTGCTGGTGTGGAACCCCGGGTAGAGCAAGATGCCGCAGAAGACCAGGATGTTGATGAACACGGCCATGGGGATCATGATGGCCGCCACCACGATGAAGACATTGTGAGAGAGCTTGACCTCGATGGTCGCGTAGATGTCCTTCTCGTCCTTAGTCACCATCTCCTCGCCGCTCCAGGAAAATATGAAGCCGTACGCGGTCATGTTGGGCAGTAATCTCCCTTGACTACATGACGTAATAGCTGTGACGTAATGATACTAGCCGGTCTGGAAAATAATAAAGAGTCATTCTAGTAAAACTCTAAAACTCTCTAGGTATTACAGGCCAATTGTGACATATTTTCATTTTCACATTATATTAAACTTCTATTTAAAATAATATAATTTTTTTATTTGAACAATTTTAAAATACAATTTATCTATTTAATGTCTAGTTAATTTAGCTACATTTTTACTTTTAAAAGAGTTTGCATATACATCGATTTGTAGCAAAAATTAGTGAAGTTAGGACAATTAGCAGTTTAAAACGCCAATAGATTGCATAGATTCTATGTAGAGATCTAGACTTTTAAAAACGCCTTCAGAATGTATATAAACTAAGCAGGCTTGTAGTTTAAATACCACTAGAGATGGCATAGAAACTATCTTTATGTAGAATTGCAGTTTAAACTTGCTTCTGCATGTATAGCATTTATGCAGATTAGTAGGTTTTAGGCGTGCCTATTAGACAATATTATGATCATATAATGTACATTTCAATGACTGTAACTGGAGTAACCCTAAGGCTAATCGTGGTTCCTACAGAATTACTAAAAGAAATTAATATAAATATTTTGCTTGGACCTACTATTATTGATAGTCACCGAATCACAGTAAAAATGTGGTATGATACTTGGAGTAGCGATATATATCTACTCATGTAGGCCTATACTGCCTTTATGTGTAAGATAAATTTATACAAATACATCTGAACAAAAATTAACTTACATTACAATATGTTCAATTTATTATTTTTTTACAATTAATAAAAAGCACAAACAAATAACATTTCCCACAAAAAGGAAGTAGTGTTTTTGAACACGCTATTCATCTATATTTAGTAACAGGAAATGCGCATAGTTGGATTATTCAGGGAAAAAACGCGATGTGTCAATTGCAGAAAACCGTAACTATCTTATTCAAATATCTATTTACAAATATTCTATCTTAATTAAAATATGATACAGTTAACATTTATTTTATAAAATGTGCAACTTTGTGCTATTGTTAAATATTTTAGCACTTCATAATCCATAATCTAGAAACAAAAATTTATTAATCTAAAAAAAATGTATAATCATTAAAATTGCATGGCATTTTTAAAATCAGGATAGACAACCAGTACATTGTTAAGAAACCTTTGCTATTTTAGATTTATTTCCCTTTGATTACTTAATTAAATTTAAACAAAATAAACCGGGAGTGATCTCCCCTAAACTTGCAGTCCCCTCTCTTCCTCTCTATCGCTACCACCCCCCCCCCCCCCACCCCAATCCCCCTCAGATGGTCAGGTGAGTTGTAGTTCACGCTTAATGATTACAAAACAATCGTAGAGCATGGTTTGGTGACGGCTACTAGGGGCAGATAATTCAGTTTGAAACTATTTTAAACTTAGAGGAGGTAACTAAGAGGAGGCTGCTTTCACGGGGGGGGGGGGGGTGTCGGGTCGGGGTTAGGGGAAAAGGGGGGGGGGGTAGTCTTTTAAAGCAAATTCAGTGGCAGCATTGGTACTGTCGAATTCACAAATTATGAATTACTGAAAAGTAGAAAATAAAACAACTAAATAGCGGCGTATGATACGCCGCTGGTCGGCTCGTTCTTATATAAAACAACAAGGGATGGGAACTCGGGATATAGTTATGATTTTTAATCCATTTTAAATACTTAAACTTTTTAAAATAGAATAGAATCTCATAGAAAAAAGAATTGCACACCAATCGAACCCCGAATAAAGATGTGTAAATGATTGAATGTGGTGGGTTGTGTGGGTTAGGTTGTGTGGGTTGGGTTGTTAGGGGTGGGTTGTGTGGGATGGGTTATGTGGGGTGGGTTGTGTGGGGTTGTGTGGGTTGGGTTTTGTGGGATGGGTTGTGTGTGGTTGGTTGTGTGGAGTGGTTTGTGTGGGGTAGGTTTATATGGGGTGGGTTGTGTGGGGTGGGTTGTGTGGGGTGGGTTGTGTGGGGTGGGTTGTGTGGGGTGGGTTGTGTTGGGTGGGTTGTGTGGGGTGGGTTGTGGGGGTGGGTTGTGGGGGTGGGTTGTGTTGGGTGGGTTGTGTGGGGTGGGTTGTGGGGGTGGGTTGTGGGTTGTGTGGGTTGTGTGGGTTGTGTGGGATGGGTTGTGTGGGGTAGGTTGTGTGGGGTGGGTTGTGTGGGGTGGGTTGTGTTGGGTGGGTTGTGTGGGGTGGGTTTATATGGGATGGGTTGTGTGGGGTAGGTTGTGTGGGGTGGGTTGTGTGGGGTGGGTTGTGTTGGGTGGGTTGTGTGGGGTGGGTTGTGGGGGTGGGTTGTGGGGGTGGGTTGTGTTGGGTGGGTTGTGTGGGGTGGGTTGTGGGTTGTGTGGGTTGTGTGGGATGGGTTGTGTGGGGTGGGTTGTGAGGGTTGTTTTTGGTGGGTTGTGTGGGGTGGGTTGTGTGGGGTGTTTGTGTGGCATGATTTGAGTGAGGTAAGTTGTGTGTTGTGAGCTTTATAGTGTGCAGTAACGTAGTGAACTCTCAGATACACACTGTGCAGTAACGTATTGTTTGGAGTAGCAGTATATACAGATGCACTTAACTAGTGCAATAATAATACTTTAAAAATGTTGATTTTTAAATACAAATTATCTTGATCAGATAACAAATGGAGTTTTATGTATGTTTATGTATCTATTTGTTTGTGTTTCAAAAGATTACTCTTGTGTTTATGGAAAGACACAGAAGGTGTCTAGGAAGGGAATGAGTACGTGAAACTAGTCGTGTTTTATATGGATATATATATATATATATATATATATATATATATATATATATATATATATATATATATATATATATATATATATATATATTCATAAAGCGAGAGAGAGAGAGAGAGAAAGCAAGACAGAAGGCGACAGAGAGAAAGATGTGTTTATTCTGTTCAAACTTTCCATTTACTAAACCATAATCTACACCGTATGTTTACTTAGAAAAAGTGCATCTAAACTTAACATTAATTTTCATAACAAGTACTTAACCTTGACCTTTAACTTGTAACTAGTTTCCACAGAAAAAAAGACCACTTGTAGTGTACTCTTCTATCAGGCAGAGTTGAGTTTAGGGTTGGGTGGTAGGGTGAAGGTTATGGCTAAAAAAAGTGTGGTGCATGTGAAGGAGGGATTTATCAACATGTTTAAGGCGGGATTGGGGTGTGATGTATGGAAAGGGTGGGAATAAAATAGGGGGAAGGGTGTGGTGTAATCTTGATGGGGCGTTAGGGGAGGATGGGTGGGGCTAAAATGTAATGATGTTTTAGAGAGAAAGGATGTAACTGAAATGTAATGGTTTAAATTGTAGGAAGAATGTTACACTAGTTTAATGGTCTGTACAAGAAAAAAGATGTTTCTAAAATGTAATTCTATGTACAGCAGAAAGATTAATAGTAAAATGTATTGACATGTAAGGGAGCGAAGGTGTTACTGAAATGTAATGATATGCACAGCAAAAAGAATGATAGTTAAACTGAGTGATATGTAAGGGAGTAAAGACGTCACTGAAATGTAAAGGTATGCACAAGAAGAAGGATGTTACTAAAATGTAATTATATGTAAGGGAGGAATGCTGTTACTGAAAAGAAATGATACTAATAGGAAGGATGTTACTGAATTGTAATGTTTTGCACAGGAAGAAGGATGTTACTAACATGTAATGGCGTGTAAGCGTGTTAGAGTGTTTAAAGATGTAATGGCATGTAAGCGTGTGAGAGTGTTTAAAGATGTAATGATATGTAACAGTGCATGTGTAGGGGTTTATTACTAACTGCGTTGCTCACACATCACTTCACGTTGTGACCTTGAGTTGAGGGGTGTCTGTAAGCGAGTGTGGGGTGGAAAAGTTGTTGCTATTAATATCACAAACATGAACTACATGAGATTTTCACGTGATGGTAACAAAAACAGGAAATAAACACTTTTTTTTGTTTACTTATTTCGACACTTTGAAATTGTTTGTGGACGTCAATTTTGTGATAAATTTCGCGTGTTTTAACTTCGCGTTTATTCACCAGGAGCTCTACTAACGGTGCCGCTTGTGGTTTAATCTTACTCGTCTGCTGCTGTATTGTATGAGCTAGTTCTGTTAACGGTGCCACTCGTGTTTTAAACGTACTCGTCTGCTGTTGTCTGAGCTGGAACAATGCCGTCTGGAGTGGCGCTAGTTGTGCTGACTGTCTGCTTCCTGCTTGTGGAGTCCCAAAGACCAAGTAGGTTTTGGCTCAGACACTACAACCACGTTAAGCAAGTTCTAACTTAACATTTCAGTCTAAACCAGCTCATGGTTCCATGTTTTCTTTTTTAGTCTAAGACATCTATAAATTCTGTATTAGGTCTTTCACATGTTTACGGATGAGGTAAATAAGGCACAATTTTGAACTATTTTCGGTAGAACAGATGAAGTAGAGTTCACATGTTTCAGTTACCTCGGCATATGAAGAGATAGTGTGGTCAGCAGTATACCCAGCCGCCTTTTTCCTGACGTGAGTCAGGTACCCACAAGAGCTGAGTGAACACAGACTGGAGCCCGCGATCCGAACTTGAGTGTCTCGCATTAGCAGTCGAAGACTCTACCATTCGACCACGCCCGTGAAGTAGTTTGACACACTTTTTACCAAATTATTTTTTTAATTAACTAAAATAATTATCTCACTACTTTCTGCAGACCGCCTACTGTACGGTGACATCATGAGACTTCGACCAACTGGAAAAAGGATCGGAGGTCAGTAGTTGGCGTTTTTTTAAAATTAGAAGTCATACGTTTATCTATTTCTTGGTGTTAAACAATACTGCCTAACTACTTTTGAGAGAAAATTTTGCAAAACATTCGTCGTGTAAACATTCGTCGTGTAAACATTCGTCGTGTAAACATTAGTCGTGAAACAAATCTCACCAGACTGGTGGGGTAGTAGCGATATGCCTGGAGAGTAGGGGGGGGGTGGTAACGGCGTGCGTTTACGTGGTGTCTAGCATGGTCCCCATGATGAGAATTTAATATGTTCTACTTTTCAGCAATTTATAATTTGTGAATTCGACACCACCAATGCTGCGACTGAAAATATTTTGCTTTAAATCACTATCAGTAGCTCGTGAAGGACGATTATCCTCACCCTCACTTTCCAACCCCCCCCCCCCCCCCGCCCAGTTAAAGCAGCCATAAGTGACGACAGTTTACAGACAACAAAGAAAAGATCAAGCAGAGCTTGTTATTACCTCCCCGTAGCTTCCAATCGTTTAAAACCTAAATTATCAGCCCCTAATAGCCTTCACTATTCAGACCCGGCTCTACAATTGTAAACATTCGGCCTAAACCTCAGCTCACCAGACAAGTGGGGTGGGGGTGGTAGCGATATGGTCTGTTGCACATGCCTGGAGAGCGAGAGAGGGGGAGGTTCGGCGTGCGTTTACGTCTTGTCCCGCGTGGTCCACATTAAGAGAATTATATATATAGATCTTTATGCTTGATAGCCCTATGTCCTTCGAGCATTCAACATCATAAAGCATGATTTATCTTAGCTTTCAAGATCTTAAAGCAATATATCTTTATATCTTTGTGTTCATGATCAGCACGCGTGCTATCTTTGTATCCTAATGTGCAAGATCATTGTGCTGTGGTCGTTTTGTCCTAGTATTAAAGATCATTGTGATATGATCTTTTTATCTCAGGTGTGACGGCCTCCCACCTAACTGTAAGCCAACACCTACCCGCCCTGCAGAGGTTACGTCGCTGTTACGACGCCGTGGCCAGTAGCAACAGTAGGTTACAGCTGGATGTGACGATATGTGACACCACGCTTTTCTTTATAGTTATTTAAATAGTAGTCTAAAACGTATTTTCTACTTTTTAGTGCCTTAGTACAAAAAAGCTTGTTATTAAAACGTTTTTTATGAAAAAAAAATTACAAGCTTTTATTTAACTAACTTCCTCTGTCGTCTGTCTGTCGTCAGTCTGTCTAGATCGAAACGCCGGAGTGAAAATTCGGACACTACTGCTTGACCGATACGGTTCACAGTTGGCACGTGGGTCAAAACATGAAGACAATGCATCGTGACATTAAATTTGACTTAATTGGATGCCTTTTTAATTTTTTATGAATTAATTAAAATTTTGACCGAATTAGTAGGCATGTCTATTCAACCACACCACACGCATCATCACGTTAAATAGCTGCGCCATCACGTTCAATAGGCGCGCAATGGTTTTTAGTCATGAAACTCTATGGTAAATAAAAACATGTAAAGTACAAAATTTTTTTCATAAAACACGTTTTAATAACAAGCTTTTATGTACTAATGCACTAAAAAGTAGAAAATAAATTATACACTACTATTTAAATTACTATAAAGAAAAGCGTGGGTCTCTTCTCAAATATTAGTAAAGCTATCCAACCAATAGGTACTAAAGTGACCTACGCTTTTCTTTATAGTAATTTAAATAGTAGTGTATAATTTATTTTCTACTTTTTAGTGCATTATTACATAAAAGCTTGTTATTAAAACGTTTGTTATGAATTTTTTTTACAAGCTTTTTCTTAACTCACTTCCTCGTCAGTCGTCAGTGGTTGGTCTAGATCGAAACAGCCGAGGGAAAATTCGGACACTTCTACTTGACAGATACGGTTCACAGTTGGCACGTGGGACAAGACATGAAGACAATGCAATCTGAAATTAAATTTACCTTAATTGGATGCCTAATTAATTTTTTATGAACTAATTAAAATTTTGACCTAATTAGTAGACATGTCTATACAACCACACCACACGTGACATCACGTTCAGTAGGCGCGCAATGGTTTTTAGTCATGAAACTCTATGGTAAATAAAAACATGTAAAGTACTAAAAAAAACTTCATAAAACACGTTTTAATAACAAGCTTTTATGCACTAATGCACTAAAAAGTAGAAAATAAATTATAGACTACTATTTAAATAACTATAAAGAAAAGCGTGGGTGTCTTCCTTAACATTAGTAAAGGTATCCAATAGATACTAAAGTGACCCACGCTTTTCTTTATAGTTATTTAAATAGTAGTCTATAATTTATTTTCTACTTTTTAGTGCATTAGTACATAAAAGCTTGTTATTAAAACGTTTTTTATGATTTTTTTTTTAACTTTTTTTTTACGGTAGCTGAAGTGATGAAAGTAAAAGAAAAGGCATTGCTTGCGCCTTTGATCTTACTAAACTGTGGCTTGATCAAGTAGATAATAAACTTTTTTTTTCTCAGACCTCCAGACCTCTTTGATAGCCGCCCTTGCCAGCCGTGAATCAAGCGGGGGGATCACAATCACCAGGACCAACGGCTACGGGGACAGGGGTCGGGCCTATGGAATCATTCAGGTAATGTAGCTCTACCAGGTGTTTAAACACTTTCAGACATTTTTCTCCGGAGGGGGGAGGACACTTGAAATTTTCTGGAGGACCGACTAAATTTTATGGAGAGGTGGGGGGACGGGGGACGGACGGGGAGGGCGGACACTGGTAAAAGTATATTTTTTCTTTATAGATTCTAGACGTTGCGGGGGGGGGGGGGGGGGCGAAGTTACACCTAATTGAAATACTGCTTCAATGGTCGGCGTCAGGGCAAGGTTAAAGCAGTGTGTTATCAAACAGGACACAATGGTTAATATAACCCATTACACATTAACCCAAGCATACATGTTACCTCACCCACTACACCATGCACACTGAGATCCTAATCCTAGCACTCACCCAATACACCATGCACACTGAGATAGCTATCACAATCCTATCCCTAATTATAACATAAACACTAACCTCACCATAGCCCAGATACTAATCATAACAAAGATGCAGGCAAAATAGTTTTATTAAGGAGATCATAGATATTATGTTTTAGTAGCAACTTAATGTTGAATCAATCAATATTACGTCATCTCCATCACCGAAATACCCAATAAACGATGTGTCTCCTAATTACATTCGTTAGCCCCTAGGTACCTCTGAACGTGTTTTTAAAAAGGAACTTGTTTAAATGCTTTTGTGTCGTGTTGAAAAGAGCTCTTTATCTTAGTGCATGTTAAACGGCTCATGGTGATTGTTGGGTGTAGACCTCAAGGTTATCTTGACTTTAATCAATGACCTGACCTTTGCAGTGTGACCTTCGGACCTCTGGCTTGCCCTGCACTAGGTACCGCTGGGACAGCTGTGAGCACATGCAGATGATGGTCAGACAGCTGTTGGTACCCTACATTCAGAGCGTGAGTACTTGGCTGTCTTCGTCCTAATCTCTGTCCCAAACCTAAACATAGGTCATTAAATTGAATTGTAACCATAACCTCATCTCTTGTCACATAACACTTGGCCTAACAACACAAAGCAAAAAACAATTCTGTATGTTATAAATTTAAAAATTGTTTCTTAGGTCAGAAGAAAGTTTCCTAGTTGGCCACTGGAAAGGGCTTTACAAGGTAAATATTCGATCTTAGCATCAATTTCCTAACGTAGAAATTTGGGGACAAGAAAAATAGTACTGGGTTCGAAACTGACACAGAATAATCTCTTTACATTTGTTGTTTACCTTTACAGGGGGCGTGGCCGCCTTTAACTTTGGCGTGAGTAACGTCCAGTCATGGAACGGCCTTGATGACGGGAGCACCGGTAACGACTACAGCAATGACGTCATCGCCAGAGCACAGTGGCTCCACAGGAGAATGTGGCATTAACTCTCAGACTAAACTGGCTCTGATACATATTCTTCTTATTGCTACATTAGTTTTTAAAATTACTCTTTTTTAATTAAGTTATCACACAATTAAATATCAGATACCACGTTTATATATACATCTTTTGATATATAACATGTATTTGTTTGTCCTTATGTTTAATCTTTATATTACTAGTCGGGCGTGCCATGCTTAAGGCACCTAACAAAATCACCAAATTCCTGGGTTTTCTTCATGATGGGTTTCTTGCACTTTTTGATACTTTATCCATTTGCGTATTAATAAAATAATACATTTAATGAGAAAACATGTTTTAGGTATTTAAAATCCCATTTTTATGACCCTATTAATTTGAAAAAAATTATCATTTTTTCTCAATCTTACAAGTTCTCTACGAAACGTTTTACATCCGTCAAAATATTGTAATTGGCGTCATTTGAAGACAGCATTTCTCATTTATGTGATAACGTATTTACTAGCGTTTCGGAAACACCCAAAGCTTAAAATCGGCTTTACAAATTACACAGATATGTTATTTTCGTGACCTACTTTTCGTTACTTTTCGCTGTTTTTCTCAGTTCGCAGTTTTTAACACTAAAAAGCCTACCATTTTGATTTACTAAATAATGAACATAATATTTTTAGTAATTGTTCTTCATCAAAATAAATTATGTAAAATATGCACATCTTGAAACTTTTGGATACTAAAAAGATTACTATTTTTCAGAACTTGTAAAATTCTGACCAGTAACTCTTTCAAAAAGTCGTGACAAAAGTTTTAATATATACTGAAAAATAAGCTTTACCACTGTTTTAGACTGCAAATACTTAGTAGTATAGCATGCAATGTATTGTAACAAATATTTTAGCACATTCAGTTTGATTGTAGTGATTTAAATACGAGTTGCCTTCCGTAAATCTAATTGTCAGAAACATGGGAGATAATAAATTGTCATTAGCTTCGTGAGTTGTTGAAAATGTTTCATAACTTCAAAATGTGATATCTTGTAACCATATTTATACCCCAGAAAGGAAATATTTTAAATACAGTTTTCTATTAACATAATGGTGCGATGTGGTCGGGTTGGAGTGCTCATGGCGGCAACACGATATTACCCAGTTCATACCCTGGCAAATGAGGCTCGTTCTATAAGAACAGTTACTGAGGAATAGAAGGGAAGCAATTTAGGCGAAAGGGTTACTAACTCTTGCTTATTAGACAAGCTACACCATTGATTGTCGCCAGCAAACTCCATGTCTACAAATTCCTATCCTACCGTCTAAGCTAAGTTCGCTTTCAAACCTGACGGTCTTAGGGGCAAGTGAAGTAGAGTTCGCCTGTTTCTGTGAGCTAGGCATATGAACAGATAAATTGGTATACACTACGCCAAGCCAACTTTACTTTTCCTAACGTGAGTTAGGTACCCATTAAAGCTGGGTGGACTCAGGGACATTCAACTTGACCTAGATTCCAACACGACACATTCCGGTTAGCAGCCTAGCGCTCTACCGCTAGGCCACGCCGTGCCCATCTTACGCTCTACATCTAAAAACTCTAGGCAATAGTTAACGGTAGGGAATAACATTTTAAATTATTTGTTCTGCATGTCCTGACCTTTCTGTATCAAGTAAAACTATGCAGGTCGTAAAATTAGAGATGCGCAGTATCGATTATTTATGGCCCCTTGGGTCCTTGAGTTATTTACAAATTCAGATCATGCGGGGAAGCTACTCTGATCGTGGTAGGAAAGTATCAAGAGAAATCCGCAGTAATCTCCCTTTGACAAGCTATTCTGTAATCGGATTTTGATTCGATTTGGCGACAATTTATTTTTTTTATTTTTTTTTATAGATAGACGGTAACGTTTTTTTATTTTTCGCGGGGTGAAATTTGTCGTTTGAATAATAATAATATTTTCTACACAAATTATTTGGCCAAGGCTTTATGTTAAGCTGTTTAATGAAATTTCAGCGGTGAAAAATGTACAATTGAATAATTAACTTTGTAAAATTAGAACTTTAATGCTCGCCTTATAAAAAAATTATATTACTTTTTGTGTAAATATTCTTCAAGGTCAAGTTACAAATATCCTCTCCAAAAGTTTTATAATGACTAAATGTCTAATATAAAGATTATTTACCTGCTAATTGTTTAACACGTTCTCTATAACACAATCAATACATTCTACTTATAGTTGTATCAGGGTTTATATACACGATTCTTTCAAAATTCTCAACTGTTCTGCCGTAAAAACTACCCTCTATTCTACCCTGTATTCTGCTCTCTATCCTACTACGTATTTTGCCCGCTATGTCACCACCCCCCCCCCCCCACATAATGATCTGTATACTATATTCTGTTTTCCTATACATTTCCTTGACTGTGCCCTCTATCAGCTAATCCTGTCTATCATAACTTCACTTTGTGTTTCGCTCTAAAAATAGCTTTATAATACCTACATTTTTGTATTGTAGCTTTGTTGGTTTAGACAGTATTACTAACATATATTTACAGTCATTAATGACGAGACATTTGTAATATATAAAACTGGCATCGCTGATTGTTAGAAGTGCTACAGCTGATTGTTATATATGCTACAGGTGATTGTTATATATGCTACAGGTGATTGTTATATATGCTACAGGTGATTGTTATATATGCTACAGCTGATTGTTATATATGCTACAGGTGATTGTTATATATGCTACAGGTGATTGTTATATATGCTACAGCTGATTGTTATATATGCTACAGCTGATTGTTATATATGCTACAGCTGATTGTTATATAATGCTACAGGTGATTGTTATATATGCTACAGGTGATTGTTATATATGCTACAGCTGATTGTTATATATGCTACAGCTGATTGTTATATAATGCTACAGGTGATTGTTATATATGCTACAGCTGATTGTTATATATGCTACAGGTGATTGTTATATATGCTACAGCTGATTGTTATATATGCTACAGCTGATTGTTATATATGCTACAGGTGATTGTTATATATGCTACAGCTGATTGTTATATATGCTACAGCTGATTGTTATATATGCTACAGCTGATTGTTATATACGCTACAACTGATTGTTATATATGCTACAGCTGATTGTTATATATGCTACAGCTGATTGTTATATATACAACAGCTGATTGTTATATATGCTACAGCTGATTGTTATATATGCTACAGCTGTTTGTTATATATGCTACAGCTGATTATTATATATGCTACAGCTGATTGTTATATATGCTACAGCTGATTGTTATATATGCTACAGCTGATTGTTATATATGCTACATCTGTTTTAGCAGATACAGGCTGCTGTTATTATTAAAACCATTCAAGGGAAATTATTCAAAATATTGTAAACATCAATTCTCCACCTAGGTTAGTTCGTTTTTGCTGATAGACACATATCAATACGCTTGTACTCTACTCCATTGAATTCGCCGTAATCGACTACGACTACTGATTAAATTAGAGTAACTTCCCTCTACTGCAGGCAGGCGGTAGCACTAGAAGAAAACACAATCCAAATGTTTATCGCAATCGTCTGAAATTAGACAAAAAATCAGCCAATATTTCGACGATTGGGGAAAAAAATGTTTAATTAATTATTGTCAATCAACGTAAAAACCACACACAAAAAAAAAGAGACCATCATTTTTTTTTACATAATTTGTCTCTCTGTGGCCTAAGATTCTTGAACTATAAAAAAGTTAATTAATTATCTTTTTAAAAAAAAATATTCCAGTTTTACCGCAAGAACGTTTATTCCCGAAGTTTGAACGTTTCTGAAGAAAGATGTTGGGTGAGTGTGGGATTAAAAATGTCGTTAATCCCATTTCTCTGTCACAAGGCATTATCTTGATATTGTTTTCAAGATTACAGGAACTCATGTTCAATAGGTTGAGCTAACATTAAATGTGATTGTCTGGATAGAGTTTAGTGTGGAAATTACTGGAGTGTATTTTATATCAAACCATTATTTAATGTTTGTTGTCTTATATTTTTGTGATACAGGCTTGATATCACCTTGATATCACCGCATTACAAAAAAAAAAACTTTTAATCGTACCTATTTTGGGGTCGGGTCGGTAAAGCTCATGGCTGCTAAACCGAAAAGTCTCGAGTTCGAACCTTAGGGCAGATGTTGACAGGCACTCTTCTAGGAGAGAGAACTCCAAAATCAAATAACTGCCTCCTTGTAGTTTGTTCTTGGTTGGAAAAAGGCTATGAAAGCAAATCCAAAAAGAAAGTAGGCTGAAATCGGAGTCAAAGGTCTCAATGGCACATAACCAGTTGACACATATACTTAATTTTGTTAAGGGGGAGGGGGAAGGAAATCCATCCAAACACTAAAATTAAGAACGAAGAAGAAGAAGTACCCATTTACATAATAAAAGGAACAGCACATGAAGAAATCTCCAAAGCTGGTTATATATATATATATATATATATATATATATATATATATATATATATATATATATATATATATATATATATATATATATTATATTATATTATATACATATATATGTAGACCAAACCGTATACAAAACCCAGCCTAAATGTCTTCAGTTTTAAAATATACGGTCTTGGGTAAATGTGCTTAAGACAACAAAAGTAAAAACAACACGGCTACATTTTTATAATAGGTTAATTAGTCAACATCAGGATAGAATGTTTATTTGTTTATTTTTATGATGATCACATAGGCTAAAAGATTTAGAGCCACTGCAATATAAGCTCGTTTGATAATGATGACATAGGCTAAAAGGTTTAGATCCACTGCTATATAGGCTCGTTTGATAATGGTCACCTCAGAGGCGTACCGACCCTTCCCGGCGCCCGGGGACAAACTTTCTATCGATCTGCACCCCCCCCCCCCCCCTCGAACTTTTCATTTGCACCCCCCTCAAACTTTCGATTTGCACCCTCCACCTCGAACTTTTCATTTGCACCCCCCCCCCCCTCTCAAACTTTTCATTTGCACCCCCCCTCAAACTTTCAATTTGGCGCCCTCCCTAAGGTCGGCGCCCGGGGACATATGTCCCCCCGCCCCCCCCCCCCCCCCCCCCTCGCTACGCCTCTGGGTCACATAGGCTAAAAGATTTAGATCCACTGCTATATAGGCTGAAAGGTTTAAATCACCGACGTCATGACGGCCAGACCTAACATGTCGATACTCCCTCAATAGATGGGCTGTTGTTTCATCCTTCAACCTGAAATGTAAGGGTTAGGATTACGTTGAAAGGTAGACGTTTGGATTAAGTAGAAATGTAAAGTTGAGGATTAAATTGAAATGTATCCAGTTTATCGGAGATTAGCGGCGAGACGGGCAGATAATGAAAGCCGTCACGCTACGCTTAGACCAACATGGCTACAGTTAAGTAGATAAAACAACAGAGCTGTTTTTGGCGTAGTAGGCGTTCTTCAATCATTGATTTCAGGAGTTTTAATAGTAGAGACCCTGGCTGGGCTAGACAAATCAATCTTTGTTTAAGCTGAGGACGGGACTTTTTGCTAAATGACGTCACGCATGTGGAATGGCAGTGTGTATAAGAGTTAGGATTAAGGTTAGATATTTTTTAAGCGACATGCTGAGTGTAGGTTTGCGTGTGGTTTAAATATATGATGTTTTTATTTGTGTGGTACCCTTATAAAATTGATACGATTAAAATAAAACTCTATTATACTTGAGCCAAAACAACAATTTAAAGACAGTTTTTCCTGATATATTTAGTGATTATGTTAAATATTTAATTAGACAAATTTAATTTCAAAATACAGTTTGCTCTTAAGACAATGGTTTCCATATTATAAAATGTGGTTGAAATTGTAAAGTTTATTATTTTTTTTTATAAACATAGGAATTATATGATTTAAAACAAGTCTCATGCAATGCATTCAAATGTTTATAGTAATTATAAATTAGACTAATACGAT